GGAAAATCCCTTCCCAACGGCCAGCCTAGCAGCTATCCATGGCTAACCATGGTTAAACCGCAAATCTGCAGTTGTGGTTGCGGTTTTCAAAGTAATATCCAAAACCGCGGTTTTGCTGCAGTCTAGACCTACTCCTTCGGAGCCCATTTCCCTCCTATTTACTAGATTTCTCAGGACTACAGAAAACTAGTAGGATTTAAAGCTAAGCTATCTATAAAAGGTGAAACCAGAAGTCTGCAAAGACACTACTCAGTCATTTTACGGCGCTGTACAACCTGACTAATATATAAAGAGTGAATAATTCAAGGATGTTGTTCTTGAATACTGGTCTGTTGCTCCTGGCGCAGCGGTTTTCTCGATCGAATGTTCTCGATCGGGTAGGCCGTAACAAGTCATATATAGTCTGACAGATTTATTAAAATTATTACATAATAAATTGGTATTTAACTTTAAGGGGCTTCCATTATGTTATTTATGTTTTGTAATTAATATTATAATCTACATATTTAGTTTTTAGCGGTATTTTTAGCTTTTAAATGGCTTTGAACTTTTTAATAAGAATTTATTTAGGTAGTAATAGTAGGCTTTTTATAGATTTTTATTGTGATGAATTCAATCTACTTGGCCGGTAGATCAACTGGTCAGCTAGTAGAAGAATATCATGTCTTATATCAAGATATTTAAAAAACTAATCCTTGATCGCTTCTTCGAATGTATCAAGAACGTCCATAGATTAGATAATGTCGGAAATAGGAGCCTAATATATCAGGCACCAATTACTACTGCAAAATATCAGCAAAACCATGGAAAAATTATGAGTTATAATTTATAAGTCACAGAAAACTATAAAATATTTTAATCCATTTTTATAAGATTTTATAAGAAATTAATTGGCTATATAACTCTTTTAATTTTAAAGCAAGTCTTACCTGAAATTTAATATTAATTTATTTACCCAAAAAGGAAACCAAAATGCGAATATAAAAGCAGGTCTTAAAAGCAATTTTTATAATAATAAGACAAGCAATTCAATCTATTTATTCTTTAATATTATTATTATAAGAATATAAGAATCTATTAAAGATATTACTAATATTCATTATACCTTACTTCCTCTACCGCCTTCCGACAATAACTTAATAAATAATCTATTATTGTCGGGTACTAAGACATTATGATTGCCCAGTTAGGAAAGTCTAGCCGAATTAGGAAAGTTTCTAATCAGGAAACTATCAAAATAACTAATTAATAACCTAATGCAGCAACGGAAATACTTAAAGAATTAATAATTTAATTAATAATTAAATCATATTAATAATAAATCTCGGAAGCTCGGCCTGAGCATCCCAATAAAGAAACTCTAATTATACGGTGCGGATTCTGATGCCGAATTAATTCGGGAAGAGGACCCGGGGATTTTAGAGGCATAAAAAGCAGCTCAAGCCCTTGCTTTGACCGACAATCATTCTGACGGAGGATAGTGTACCACTAGACCAACCAGAATAGGAAAAGTCTCTAGCTATTCCTACTTAGAATTAGCTTAGAGAAGGTAGGTTGTGAATACTATTCCGTAATAGTATAATAAAATAAAGCGAACAATTTAATCTATTTATTCTTCTATATATTATTATTATTATATAAGTAAATAAAAGTAACTATATTAAAGATATTACTAATATTTACTATACCTTACTTTCTCTACCACCTTCGACAATTACTTTTCGCTTTTAATTAATAATATTTTATTATTTACCCGGGATTATTACATTTATTTAAATTTTTGTTGGAACCTGTTTATTTTTTAAAACAACTAGCTGTTTAACTGTATCTTAGTGTCTTTGTTATAGTTTTTTTTGTGGCTTACTTGTAATCTTAAGTTCTGCTAGTATCTTTTTTTATATTTATAACTTTATATAATTCTAATTCGCGAAGTAGTTCCAATAAGTTTGTTAAGGCTATTTAGTTTAATATTAATATATATTAAGGTCTCTTTAATTTTGTTATTAAAATATTAATAAAGCATGTGCGAAGTGCAGAGTTATAAGTTTAATAAAATTTAATAAAAATTTACCACAAGTTTTTTCATACTTTTATTCTAGTTTGTTTTAGCACCTTAATTTATTATTTAGCTGCAGCTTTAGTATTGGGGTTGCTAAATAATTTAGTAATTTTTTAGATTTATTATAGTTTTTTAATATTTTTCTAGTTACCCTTGTATTATTTATATAATATATATATACTTTAAACCAGTTAAATACTATTTTTTAAAAAAATAGGTTACCGTAAATATAACCTTATAATTATCTGTATTTTTAAAATTATTAATGCGGATATACATATAAAGGTTAATATTTTTTAAAATAAAATATATTATTAGTATATAATTTAATTAATTACTATAAAAATAATAAAATAAAATAAGTGGTAATATATTTTAGTAAAAACTTTATTAATAGTTTTAATATTTTACATTTAACCGTGGGAGGATTAATAGTTTTTAAAAAGGTTAAATAATTAAAAAATAAATAAACTAAAGACTAACTAGTTAATAGAAAGATATATTATATATATAGTGTCAAGGGCTGAACCTTTATAACCTAATAACTAGGGTATATAACAAAGGAATTGTTGAAGAGTAAAAGAAAAGATAGTAATAAGGGTTGCGAAATAAAAAGGGGCAAAGTAAAAAGAAACACAAGGCCTCCTTAGGGCCTGAGTAGACTTCGGGACTTCTAGCCCCTTAGATATATATATAGTCTTAGGTTTTAGTATAAATAGTATATTACAAGAGGTAGTATTTAATATTTAATAATATATAATTATATTAATTTAAGCAAATTTATTTATATAGCCTTAAAGAAGCTTAAATAGTATTAAAAATTAATAATAATAATCTTATAACTACTATAGCATAGTGGAGCTTACTGGCAAGGTATAAAATAGCCTTTTTAACCTGCTTATTAAACTATATATTAAGCTGCTTAACAACCCTTACCTTTCTTTCTATACTGCTAAGAAAAGTATTATTACCTATATTAGTCCTTTTTACCCCCCTTTTTTTCTATTTATATTGCTGATATAAAATATAGGACTACTAAAAAAAAGTTCCTTTTAAAACTTTTTTGCAGTTTACAGACCTTGTAGTTAAGCTAATAAGTATTTTAAGATACTAAAAAAAAATTATAGTTTTCATTAATATACTTATTTAATATTTTTAGCTATTATTATTTTTTTTAACTTGCTATATATAATATATACTTAAGGAGCCCAAAAATACCAATGTCTAGCAATTAAAAATGATAAAATAATTATATTTTTTATAAAATATTAAATTTTGTAGTCTAGTAGCTAGAGTAGCTACTTTGTACTAGTTAAATTTTACCTTAAATATAGCTTGAACATCTTTTTAGCTAGAAAAGGCCTAATATTTTATTATCTAGCTATTATTACTTTTTATAATCCTCTAATTTCTATTCCTATTTTTAAAAAGTGCAGCTTTTTAATAATGGGTAACTTAATATTATTTATTTACCTTTGAAATAATCACGGGTAAAATAAATTCATGTCAGAATATTGAGATATTCTAATTAGGAAACAGAAATCTCGGCGGGCCGTTCCGAACTTCCGAAAGTATATGAAACGGATTTTAATCCCGAGATTAATTTGGAAGGAGAACCCTAGGAAGTAAAAGGTATAACCGTATAAAAGCAGGTCAAACCCCTGCTTAAAATGTGGATGGAACAATCGTTCTTTAATATTCCTTCAAGATTATATCTTCCTAAACAGGAAAGTATAAGCTATTCTTTATTATTATATTATATGCCCATTATATCTTACCTTTGTTTAATATAACTTATCCCTATATACCATTATTCTTTTACCATACTATTATAGAATAGTATTCACAGCTCATTTCCCCTAAGCTAATTCTAAATAGGAATAGCCCATAGCTATTCCTATCCTGGTTAGTCTAGTGGTCCACATTCCTCCCACAATTCATTTTTAAAGCTTTTATATTTAATAACTGTAACCTATTTATAGTTTTCCTAAATAACTATACAAGGTCTCTTACTGCACTTAGCTAAGATAAGAGTAATAACCTTAAAAAAGTTGTATAAAGCCCTCCCTGTAGCAAAGCTGGTTTTTTAAAAAGTCTAAGTATTATTTTTATATATACTATGCTTTTAAATAGCTTTATATATAATTATAAACCACTAATTTATAACCTTTGGGTCCTCTTGCTTGCATGCTGGTATATAGTTCTCCGGTTATATCTTATATATAGCTTAAAATATTATTTAGTAAAGAAATAGGCTAGTCTACTCCCAGGACTTACTATTAAATCTTATATATACAGAAGTCGCCTTACAAGAGATTTTTTTTAAATAATAGTTAATTTATAGCTATTAGCACGTGTTTCTATATATACTAGTTAAGCATAAGCATGCAAGGAAGGTAGTTAAAAGATATACTTTACATAGCTTCTAATTTAATTTATCCAATCACTCTTTACATGCAGCAATAGCCATTTGTAAACAAGATTTTTTAGATAACGGTATTTTACATAAAAATAATAACGCGTCGTGGAATATCAGTTTATTTTGTTGGGAGCGGTGAAAATTATTCGTTCGGTGGTATTTACCGCTCGGCCGTGGAATAACACCGTTACTCTTGGGCTGGAGCCAGTTTCTAAGTCGGGGCCGCGCACCCATTGTAACCCGAGACTGCTCTGATAATACAGGTTACAATAAACAGCACTTTATCCACTGGAGCTCTCCATCTTCCCAACAATTGTACTGTTAAGCAAACTGTACGGAATACTGTGTATACCCAGTGCAACTTATGGTCGCAGTTAGTGTTATTTCCGACAATATCAAAAGGTCTGCGGCTTTATGATCCTGTCTTGTAACAGCCAGGTCGCCGTGAAAGGAGAAAGCAAAAAAGCAGCCGGATTAGGACATCTAATTGCATCATCACCCACAGAAGAATAAATTGTCGGCATGCCACCGATAGTTTCTGATAACGAGTCGTCATATGTTTTAAATCAGGTGAGAAGTGCTTATTGAACGCTTGTGATTCCCGCTAAATCGTCTAACCCGCTAGATTATCATATCACCTTCGGATACAGATTACCTGGACCAACTGATCCCTTCCATAAAAGAGTACAGTGTTGGCAATCGAACGTCTCAATTATTACAAACTCTAGCGGCTTTTGCTGGTGAAAAAGAGTCTGAGATAGAAGCCATTTGCAACACAAACCATCAAGAGTTTGTCACGTCAATAAATCAACTTCTTCGTATACGTGAAGGCTCTGTTAGACTCACGTCTGAGATATTAGATCTTAATCTATCAATCCAAGCCAGTACAGAGAAGCTGGCCGAACAGAAAAAGGCTCTGGTCGAATCTCGAAGTCACCGACAAAACATCGACGAGACCTTTCGTGCCACCAAGGACTGTCTAGATGTTCTACGCCTCGCTAATCAGGTCCATGACTTATTGTCCAAAAAAAACCACTATGCAGCTCTTCGGGCACTTGATGAGCTTCAGAACGTCCACCTCAAGGAGGTGAGCCAGTACAAAATCGCTGATATGATTCAACGTTCAGTTCCCTATACTCAGAAGGCCATAGCAGAGGCCGTGATGTCTGATTTAAATACTTGGCTTTATAGAATTCGGGAGATGTCACAGTACCTGGGTGAAATAGCCCTATACCACACCGACTTACGGAAAACAAGGCAAAAGGAGAGAGTCGATCAGACGCCGTATCTAGGTCACTTCAAATTGAATTCTGCCATTGAATTAGTTTCCGACGAGCATGAGGAGTACGACCTTTTGCACAATGAGGAACTCCAGGTTGACTTCACGCCCTTATTCGAGTGTCTGCATATTCACGATTCCTTGGGCCAGATGGATAAATTCCGCATTGAATATGCGAACACACGACGTCGGCAAAAGGAATTACTGACACCATCGTCCATATCCCTCATGGATGACGACAATGCTGGCTTGCATAACCTTCTGGAGGAAATGGCGGGTTTCGCAATTGTCGAGAGATCAACAATGAAACGAGTCCCAGACTTGAGATCACCAGTTGATGTAGGCTTTATAACCTGATTGGCAGATAATTTTACATGGTACTAACAAGCTTAATAGGTTGAGGAGCTATGGGATTCACTGTGTCAAACTGCAGTAGGCTTGATATCAAATGCGCTTTCCGAAGTAGATAATGCTGAAAGCTTGCTGAGAATCAAGAATCTCATTGCCCTATTCATGCAAACGATGAATGTTAGTTAATGTTCAAATGCTGGCATGCACCAAATCAAGATGACTAATTAATTTACAACATTATAGGCTTGGGACTTTTCTGTTTGCATTTTCGATAACTTTCTATTGGTCCTATTTAGGAAGTATGCCGAGCTGCTGAAAAAGAGATTTAGTGATGACTTCCAGGAGGTAAGATATGATCACTTGATGCTGTATTGCCATGCTGAAACTTCCTGGAGATTGTATCCACAGATGACTATATGCCCATGCCAATTCAAACCCCGGCCGAATTTGATAAAGTAGTAAATGTTAGCTGGTATTGTCCTGAGAAGTCAGAGGATGAACAAAGGTACAAATCTTCTAGTTCTTTATTTTGCAGTTCTAACATTCTGTTTCAGCTTCCCATGCGTATTGCCATTCTCTCAAATGTATCCGCTGTGCTGCATTGACATCCGAAATTTTTTGAATCAGTTTTACTTTTTTGCAAGTGATGACTTTAGTCGCTCAGATATTGTTGATAAAACCCTGGAAGAGGTAAGTTATTCTGCATCCTATGTAGAACGGTTTGCTAATTTTAACAGGCGCTGGATGAGCTACTCTCAAGCAAAGTTTGTGACACGCTTGTTGAGCGCCTTGCATCCCAGTATTTGGGTCAGATCGTACAGATACTTATCAATTTAGAGCATTTCGAGCTTGCCTGTCATGAGCTTGAGTTACTTCTGGAGGCTGCGAGACCGCAGAATTGCTTGGGTGGCCCTATAAAATTAAAAGCGACGGAAAAGTTCAAGAGCAACAAAAAAGCAGCGGAAAAACGCATTTTTGAGGTGGTCAATTCAAAAATCGACGATCTCATTGAAACTGCTGAATATGACTGGATGGCCTCGGCTCCGCCCATGGAGCCCAGCAACTATATGCAGACGCTAACTCGCTTTCTGTCTAATATAATGAACTCGACATTACTCGGTCTCCCAACAGAAATTAAAGAGCTTATTTACTTCGATGCTCTTAGTCACGCGGCAAATATGATACTTGTATGTATACCTTTCTCCAGCGTGCGTTTCCAAGGGTTGGAGAAAAGCTGACTGTGCTGTTCAGTCCCTTCCTCTTTCTCCAGATGTGAAAAATATCAACCCCAATGGCGTTATGGCGCTTGCCAAGGATGTTGACTATCTATATGATTTTGTCGATAGCCTTGGTGTGCCCATTCTGCGAGAGAATCTCGACGAACTTCAACAAACAGTACAATTAATGCAGGCCGAGAACACAGACGAATTTTATGACATTTCTACTCGAAATAAAAAATATGGTCGTGTAGATGTGATAAATGGGCCAGTTTTATTGGAGAAGTACGTATAAATTACTCACTTCGGACTTGAATCCATTGCTAAATAGTTGGAAGGATTACACGTAGTGTTCAAAGTCCAGTAAAATCTGACAAATTTGCGACACTTTCATCGAGATTTGGGAAAAAAATGTGAAAACTCGCCTCTCACCTGTTTCTCCCGCCTGTCCTTCGCTTGCATGTCACATAACAGAAGGGAAATATCAGCTCAGCCTGTACTTTTGTAACTAAAATAATTATCCTAATAAGGAGCTCGAGTTCAACGCATCCGAAGGGACGCGGATATGGTAAGCAGCTGGTACATACAATGTGGTAGAAATAATGCTAAATAATCAACTAAGCATACTCGAAAAAATCCGAACAAATAGTTCCACCCTTCATCCAAAGACATGTCACCTAAATTCAAGTACAAATAATTCGGTGGAATACTTAGATACCCGGCGCGGATAATATTCACTTGAAGGTCACGGTTAGTCAACGACTATGCCAGCAATGATATTTGAAGAGCTGTAGAACGTATGACTTTCTGGTACATACCTGCTGTGGTGGTAAATGAGGATAGGTTGCATACATTCCTTCAAACATTTGGGATTGTGGCTGTCCATATGCTGCTGTTGGGTCTGATTGCACAGTTCCTGCATACATGGCTGGCTGGCGATACTCTTGATCCTGCAAACCATGTTGCCCCAAATTGTAATCAGGAGGGGCCATGTGGTGGGAGTGATGCTGAACCCCATGCTGAGGTGGTGGCAGCTGGCCCGCCCCTCCAGCTCCAGAAGAACCAGCAGGAGCACCGGCCTGGCTGGGTCTCTTTGTGTGTGATGTGGCCTCCTCACGGGGTACTATGTCAATGAGAAAATCAAACATGTCAGATTTAGATAGAGCTGCAGCAATGTCTGATCTCTGAAGTGTGCGCCGTTTATTGTCTTCAGCATGGATCCATGCTCGCATGGTTAATTCTGTGATAAAGATATCACAGCCTTTGGCAAATAGAATCGGTGCTTCTGCTGATATCATTTTCACCTCTGGATCAGCTTTCATAACCTTCTTTATACGGGCTAATGGCAACTGGTGGATTTTATAGTCATGATTGTCAGACTCAAGATGGTTTATAATGTGCTGCCAGTATGTTGTCAAGATATCACGGGCAGTACCTTGCAAGCCTTGGTTAACCTGGCTAAAATCAGTACTGTAAGTAACTGCACCATAGCAAATTACCTACATTTGCCCAAGTGCCTGTGTAGAGCTCAGCTACGGGTGCATATCCCTGTGCAGAGAGCTGGCTCATTGCAAGTTAGCGGACTATAAATTCGAACAGGAGGAAGTACACATTTTCTAAGGTGTACATAATCATACCGCTGCGCTGGCACCTACAATAAATTAAGTCAACTGATAATTCGCGTTGAAGTCGGCAACATTATGTGGACTTGTCAGGATGCAGTAATTACCATAATGTCCACCATTTCTAGTATCGTACACGGGCTGCTGTCTCACTTGCTGTTGCCCGGGAGTTTGTGAAGACTGTTCCATTGCAGTATACAATATGCAGTCGATCTTCAAATACTCCAATATTAGATAGCGAACGGTTTAGATGTTTGAAAAAGACACTGGCTTCCAAATTCCAGCACAAAAGCCACAGTACAACGTGGCCAGGAAGCAGAGTTGTAAGAATCCAAATGTTCGTGACCCAGTTTGGTGCTGTTGTAGAACGAGGAATGAAAGGTTATAGCCTAGAGAGAGCCATACACATGGTACACTAAAGTTCTCGGCCGGTGTCAGAGATGATGAAATAAGGTGGCTTATATGATATGCCAAGCATTTCTATAGTATGATCTAAACAGTTGCGGCGAAATTGTACGTCGATCACGTGTCTATATACTTTATGATTTTACTATTATACAGTAATACAACCCATATACCTTCGCTTCGCTCAGTGGGCTTGAAGGGGTATATAATGAGAGAGCTCTATTTTCAGCCCGCTCCGGACCTACGACCCTCCACAGAGTAAGCAAAAAAGCACCTAGTACCGTGGCTGGTCACCTAACGCATGTTCCAGACCAGACGCGTAATTTTTCCTATATAAAATATAGGTCGTAAGGTATCTAAACAATGACTATATGTCACGATTGAACCCAGCATAGTGCCCAGACTGAGGGCTTTGTTACTATGTAGGGCGCTAGGTACGACCGATCGAGGATTAGTCGTCGTCTTGTACACTTTTATATGGTCAATTGGTTTTATCTCTACTAACGCAGAGACAACCAAATCGTCACAAAATATATTTAAAGGTATTATTAAATATTTCGAAGTACTTCAAAATACAAAAGCAGTTCATAAAAGTAAAATGTTAGTAATAATATTGTAAAAGATCTACTATACGGGGTAGATGGGCATGTCAATTACGTAAGGAGATCAGAATAAACCTAAAAGGGATCGAGGTATGTAAGTATAGGATTATTTCTAAACTAGCCCTTGGGATTCCCAATGGAATCCCAAATGGATACCTACATAGCAAAGAGGGGTAGACCAGAAAATATTATTTTGTTGTAATCCATCACAGAAAGACCATACGGGTCAAATTCATCCGATTATCCAATTTTTTTATGGCGGTCACCGGCGCAATGTGATGTCACGCGATACTATCGCGAAACCGCCAAGCCACTAATAACATAAAAAAGGTAACTATACTTGGATGCCCACATACCCGCACGTCAGCACGTAGCCCTAGAAATGAAAATAACCTTTTCTATAATTCTGAAAAGCTTAAAATATCGGCTATTTTGACCTGCATATAAGTGTTATTTTCTACTAAGATTTTTAAATTATAGATCCAGTAAAAAACCGTGCACCAAGCCCAGCAGTAGAGTTAATATTATAAGAGTGTATTTTCTCTGTATGTGTACAAGGGGGACCCAGAAACGCAGGAAATAAATCTTGGGGAGTATTTTAATTTATACAATAAAAAGGCTTTATATCTTGCACGATCTAGCTGTCTTGAAAATGCTAAAAAAGTACATAGCTGTGAAGCCACTGAATATAAGAATATACTTACAGATAATCTGTTATTTCTTACATATATATAGAAAAACAGTAGCCGCTAAAGTTAAGCATGGTACAAATACATTTTAACCATGGTTTGTGGATGGATTCTTAAATAGTGGATTATGTATTATAGTTTAGGCTGACCGCTGGGAATTTCCAGGAAATCTAAGCTCAACACTGTAAGTATTTAACCATAAAATATATACGTAGAGACGGTAGAAAGCACAAATTCTAATTATACTATTATATTCTAATCGGGACCAGATTTATGGAATCGGGATGTGAATTTTTTTTACAGGCCTTTACAGTGTGAAGGATAGGCCGAGAATCGGCCGGGTTCGGGTCCTGAACCCTTATCGATAAGCTGAGTAAACAGTGACGCAAAGCTATGGTAGTATCTTAATGACGCGTTGATGTGTTGTCATGATCCCATTGACTGTATCGTTACCTTATCTGTGGGCGTTCTATATATTATCTTGATCTATTCAAAGAAGAGATTAAGGATTATTCTCCAATATTCTTGGTATAAGATATAGTGATATTCTTTTCTACTATCTTACCTAGCTGACCGGTTGATCTACCCGGCCAAGTAGATTCATCACATACAGCCTTGTCATTTTCCCATCCCGATTTACAAAAGTGGTCCTGATTAATAAAATTTTAAGATAATTTGATATACAAAATTGTTATGTTTATAACTTTGTACCTAAATACAATTTAATTACCATAAAATACCTAAAATACTACATCTAGTGTTGAATCTTCGGGCTCTGTAAAATTATGTGGGAAATTCCTAATGGTCAGCTTAATTATAGTATAGTTGTTAAATAAAGTAGAATAGATAATATATAAATATAATATAGTTTATAATTTAATAGAGAGGAAAATTAATTGTCCGAGGATGACGAACCACTAGACTAGCCAGAATAGGAATAATAAAGGCGTGCCTATTTAGAATTAGCCTAGAGGATATAGGTTGTGAATACTATTCTGTAATAGTATATTACAAGAATAATGATATACAGGGGATAAGTTATATTAAAGTGTAATATATAATAGGCAAATAGTATAGTAACAGAAGATAACTTATACTTTCCTATTTAGGAAGATATTATGTTAAAGAATACTTATCCTCTCTTTTTTCCAAGTAGGGGTTTGAGCAGCTTTTATACCCTTAAAGTCCTCGGGTTCTTTTCATAAACTAATTCAGGATTAGAATCTGTGCTATATAATTTGAGTTTCCTTATAATTATTTAAGTATTACTGTTGCTGCAATAGGTTGTAGATTAGTTATTTTGATAGTTTCCTGATTAGGTAACTAGTATATCTTAACGTAATCGGTAAGCGAGCGCCGCACCTCTGTGTTCCATATAAAATGACACTTGTTGAGAGTCTAATATCTCAACAATAAAGCACGTAGAGGCATAAAATTTAATATACAGTATAATATAGTACTGTATATATATTAAGAAGAGAAATTTGCGGAATGAATATCTCTCCAGGTAAGATAAATTACAGCTGTATTTTTTATATTTTTAGTTGTCCTAGTATTTAAAGCCAAGAAAACTTTAAAAACATGAAATATAAAAACACCATTTTAGAGTTTATATGTATTTTATTATCTTATCAAGATGTTTCTATATCTACTGGTGGTTGAGATATAAGGTTTCAAAAAGTGCCATTTTATATGGAGTACAGAAGTGCGGCGCTCGACTTCAATGCGCCGCTCGCTTACCGATTACGTTAATATTCTGCAGAACATACCTCCCCCCAGCTTCTAAATTAATATATATTTTTAAGCTAAGGTTCTTACTATTTTTTAAAATATCATGTATATATATATTCAGCATTTTTATAAATTTTTGATGATTTTGGCTTGAAACTAGTTTTGTGAATCCATCTACAGGTATAACTTATTATCGGTAAATATCTATTTAATATCCAATTTATCGTTTAAATTTCCTCCCTAAACCAATAATTTTGAATATTAGTATGTTCTAATTTTGTTTTGAATATTAAATTTTCTTTTGCCAAAAGATTAGTAGTTTGCTAATTATCACAAGTAAGTTTGGAGTTTCCGGTTTAGCCCCAATTCTAATAAATTAAATAGGTGCTTCCACTAATAAAATTATTTACTACCACTTAGTTAAAGCAAGTAAATTCAGTTTTAATAGTAGAAGTAGTAAATAGTTTTTTGTTTTCTTGCAGCCCAGTTAATTGGGCTATTATATAGGAAAGCCATGAAGCTTTAGAGCTTTTTTGGTCTTCATTATCTGTATATGTGGTATCTATTATAAATATATAAAATATAGCCCTAATTTTACAACTTTAGGGCTGTTGTAAGCAGAATATTTATAGCTATATAATTAAATAATTTGTAGTATATAGATATTTTGGGTTAGGATTAAAAATTAAAAAAAAAAAAAAAGATTTGGATTGCTTTTATATTAGGCCCAGATATATACTAGAACTATTTTTCTGCTAATATTTTTTAATAAAAGCTGCAGTAGCTTTATAATTAGGCCTAGCCCTAATTTCAGTAAGTTTTCCGATGGCAGAGGTGGTTTGGGCATTTTTAGATTAATTAGGTAAAAATAATTCCCAAATTTCTAATATATTTTCCCTTTTTTTGGGCTATAATAATAGCAAATGCTTTAAACTTTATGTTTGTTTAATTTTAAAGCTTTGGCTTTCTGCCCATATCCAGGCGGATAAATATAAATAGTCGTATCAGAGAAGTGTTTAAAAATATATTATCTATATTAAATTACATAGATTTAAGGTTAAATACAGCTATACCTTGCTAATAAAAATCCTCATTATTTTAGATACTAGGGCAACAGCCTTTATATTTAAATTATTTAAAAACTTGTAGGTCACCTCTGGTATATAATCTAGCTTTATATTTAGCTACATATCCTTAATTATCAAATTTATAAGTACCTATTTTAATAATATTTGTTAATTTTTTATATATTTCTTTTAATATTAATAACTAAGTGTTTTTACTTTCAAGCCAGTGGTATTAAAATACTCTTCTGAATTACCTTGAATTTTATAGATTTTATAAATTTTAGGATTCTAAGTATTATTTTCTTTATTTTGATTGTTTTAATTAAAGCTCCTGATATTTTTGCGAAAGCATTTTGTTTAGGTTACAGGTGATTTTTCGCAATACCTTTTTAGTGCATATTCTATAAAGTTACTACGTAGATTTCTTAGAATATTTATATTAAATTGTTTTTCAATAGATAAAATACGAAATTAAATCAGTAATTTTATGTTTTCGGCCTAAGGCCTAAATAATATCTTGAAACTGTATATATATACAAAGTATTTAATTATTATTATAGACCTGATTTATATAAATTAGGTCCCAGTAAATAGTTTTGAAAGGTAGATCTTTATATATTAAATATTAAAATTTAATAAATTTACGTTTCACGATTTTTTGTATATTAAGAATTATTATTTAATGATTCTAATAT